GATTTTAGTACCCCCTGTTACAATCCCTATGGACCATAGAGCCTACAGCTCAGGCTTCTTGGAATTTTGCCAAAAGTTTGAGGTACCAGGACACGAAAACTCGAGCAGGCTCGGCTTTTGCAGAAACAGAGCCTTCAGTTCTGGTATCTACGAGGCCTGGCGGGCCACAGATCGTACAATTTAGCTTTCTTTCCAAGACGGCTCGCGCGCCTCACATCGCATATTCAGACGAGAGGGGGTCGTAAGATCCACGTCTCTTTTTCGCAGCGAGGTGGATCATGAAGAGGATAAGGGGTATACATATACAGCCATATAAGGCAAACAAAAATAAATATACATATATATATATATATGTATATATGTAGATCATTTATATATATATATATATATATGTATATGCATGTATATTTGTATTTATTTGTGCATCTTCTATTTGTCTACTTATCTATAGTTAGCATATAGTGTTCTTGTTATTCAGTTTCTTATGAAAAAAACGCAAGCCGAGAGCTCATGTGCATATTTGGGAAGTTGCTCGGCATTGTGTTGAAACAATTAGGCACCAGAAACAATTAGGCACAAGAACGGGCAAGCCTTCCCTAAACCTATTACCCCAAACCCCTAAACCCCAAAGCCTAATCAGAATACGGGTCGCGCGCGTTTGAGATGCACCAATCTCACCAGGCAAATGGGAGTCCCAAGCCAGCCAACCGCAGGGGTTTAGGGTTTGAGGCTTTGGGCTTGGGGGGCACAAGCAACTGATACTTCAACTACTAGGAGGCGCCGAAGCAACCACGGGCTTCCGGATCCGGAGTGCTCTCTCGGGTTTGGGGTTAGGGGTTTGGGGTTTTGGGGTTTGGGGCTTTAATTGTAATTATTAATTTGAAGCAAATCACTTATTGTTACAAAAAAATTATGGATGATAATAATGATAAGGATGATTTTTCAATTATTCGAAAAATTCTTATTCGTTATGGAAAATTAGCAATTTCTTTGAATATAGCAGATCAATTTTTTGAAATCATAATATCTCATTTATCAAAATTTCGTTCTCTGGCTATATACAGAAGAATACAAACTGAATTATCTATGATTATTGATAATAATGATGATAAAATGATATTCAATTTAGGGTGGTGGGTTTAGGGCCTAAGCCCTCAGCCCGCCTCTCAGTAGCGCGTTTGGAGCGGCAAGGAGCAGGCAGCAAACTTCTTCGAGGTAGGAAAAGCCGCGGTGGGGTTGGGACCTTCCGGGGCGGGGGACGCCTACTCTAGATTTGAGGGGTCTCTTGGGCGAGGGCTACAGTACTAAACCTTAAACCTGAAACGCCCCCGCCCCTCAACCGCCGTCAATCCTAAACCCAGACACCCTTTAGGGCCGAAGGGGTTTTAGGTTTAGGGCATAGGGTTTTGGGTTTTGGGCAAACCTAAACGCAGAACCCCCAAACCTCCCCAAATCGAGGGCTGAATAGCCCATGCAGTCCCTAAACGCTCCTACTCCCAGTTTGCTTAAAGCCTCCCCGCGAGTTTTGAACTGATGGACCCGTCTACTGAGCCTGTCTGGGTACGGTTTAGGGTTTAGGGTTTAGGGTTTAGGGTTTAGGGTTTAGGGTTTAGGGTTTAGGGTTTAGGGTTTAGGGTTTAGGGTTTAGGGTTTAGGGTTTAGGGTTTAGGGTTACCCCAAAGGGCCAACAACACATGCCCACCCCCCGGGAGCCTGAACCCTAGGCCCCCAAGCCCCAATGTCTGAACCCTAAGCCTGAAGGCCTCAGCCCTCACCCTCAATCCTAAGCCCTAAGCCCTAAGCCCTAAGCCCTAAGCCCTAAACCCTAAACCCTAAACCCTAAACCCTAAACCCTAACCCTAAACCCCAAACCCGAAACTGGATGGATTAAGGGCTTGGGGGGGGGGGGGGGCCCAAAAAGATGAGGGTTTGGGGCTTAGGGGAAGGTGGGGGCGGGGGGGGGGGTGGTTTAGGTTTATGGGAATGATCCCAAAAGGGACAGCCTAAAGACCGACCCGAACTTCCAAAACCCCAAGGCACCTTGAACCCCTCGTTTTGGGGTTTAGGGTTTAGGGTTTAGGGTTTAGGGTTCAGGGTCTCAGGGTTTTGGGCCCTAAGCCCCTTAGCATTTCGGGGCTCGAGCGGGTGCAACTCTTTTCCGGTCGGCTCAGCCGTGCCAAACAAACGTGGGGGGGCAGCCAAAGCTCGAGCCATTCGACTCTACCGCGCCGAATGCCTAAAGCACTTACAGCCTTAAAGGCTTAGGGCGCTGAAAGCCCGAAAGGCCCTAGGCTTAAGAGAGCCCTAAGACGCCCCTAAGCCTAAAACCCCCTCGGCACGGAGGATGTAAAATGCTGGCTCATGGCTCTGAACGCCACAGTTCTACACGAACCCGCGCACTTCAGGAAGGCGAATCTTGGACTGGCTTCCCAAAGTGCTCAAGCTTCGAAGGGAACGGTTTGCCCTCGAAGGTATGGGGTATTGGAGGATGCATTTTCTGGCTGCTGGGACCAAACTGGGAGTTCCGATGAATGGGGGGAAGAGAGGTCCTGTAGGGTCGCGCCGTGGGAAAAGGGGCTCCCGGAACTGCCTGGGAGCTGTCCCGGAGCAGGGCTTCAATCTTTGCGACGGATCGCTTCAACGCCTCTTCGGTGGTGTGTTGAAGGGAGTGCCTCACGAAGAAACCAACAAGCAACCCCCCCCCCCTTCCCCCCTCCCCCCTCCCCCCCCCCCCCCCCCCCCAATGCGTTGTTCGAAGCGCCAGCTGTTCTGCCAGCAGCTACAGCTTCAGTGCCTACATCACCGTCAGTTCAACACTGCTGCAGGCCACTTCGCCCTGCACCAATATTTTCTCCGAGGTGCTCCGTCCGCGAGAGCTCCGCCTTCATGGCGCGCATGAGATCATCCAGGTGCTGCATCGGACCCTCCTGTGCCCAACATGGGTCTGCATGAATCAGCACGCGGGCCTTCGGCAAAGACTGCTACAGCTTAGGTGCCTCTGACGCCTGCTTTAAGCATCATGCGGCCGAAAGAGCCGATCTCCTCCAGCTGCTGGTCGTTCGAGCTCACTGGCTGCGCGCCACGTGCATCCAGCGCGTCGCAGGGAGAAATGGTCCTTGCTGGGATTCACATCTCTGCCTGTCCTTCACCTGCCGCACTATCATGCCAGAGAGCCAAGCCAAACTCGACCCAAGCACTAGACTCTAGACCCCCCAAACTCCCCAAACCCCAAAAACACTTCCCCGCAAAACCCTCGCATCGACTCCTGGGCCACTTCGCGAACGCTGGGAACGTGGGGCTGGAGGCTGCCGGCGGCTCGATCACGTCCACTGGGTCAAAGTCCAGGGGGCTCCCAGCCTCGCCCGCATGTTTTTTGGGGTGGAGGGGGGAGGGGGGGTTCACCACCTGCCCCTTGTTGCTACAGGGGCTATACCAGATTCGGTGTATCAGGGGGCACAACTCATTCTAGGAAATACACATATTTCGCTAAAGCTTAAAACGGGCATTTCCCCAAGAAGCGTACCAGCTGCACCCCACACAAGACTGAAAACTTGGAACCCGCCAGAAGGGCACGTCGCGTTTAACGGCTTTTGCAATGTGGCGAAGCAGGTGGAAACTTCTCTTCATTGTTCGAACCCAATCTTCGGCGACAGGGCATGACTTCTAATTGTCAGACTCAATCGCAGCAGCATCGTTTTGCATTGACCGTTGTTTTGGAGCTGCAATGATAGACCTGTGCTTTGTAGATGCAGCCTTCCATCGTTTTTCGTAAGACCGACATTCAGTGAAATAGAGGACACCTGAAATTCCTTACCTAAACCCTAAACCCTAAACCCTAAACCCTAAACCCTAAACCCTAAACCCTAAACCCTAAACCCTACATAGCGGTTGCTGGCTGCAAGACGTGCCCTGATCGGACTCGGCCGGGCCTTTTGAAGCCTCGTCGCCGAGCCGACACAAACACAAAAGTGGCTGTTCCTTGCACTGGCGCCTGTCCTACAAATACCTAAACCCCCTAAACCCTAAATACCTAGGGCCGTTTAGAGTGGCTTGGCTTGTTTAGGTTTATGGCTTGGGGTGTCAAGCCTTAAGCTGCCACACCTCTAGGATTTAGGTGCAGGATTTGCCATCTTGTGATTCGGGTACCGTCTTACTTTGGGGCATTTCAAGGGTTCAGGAACGCCCAGTACGTTTGGAAGCTCCGGGGTGGAGGCCCCCCGCCGCCCCCCCAACCGCCCGCAGGGTTTGGGGTTCAGGGTTCAGGGTTCAGGGTTTAGGGTTCAGGGTGTAGGGAAGAAGTGGTGCCTGCCGCGCATGTCACCAACCAGTTTCAAGAGCCGGAACTGAAGAGCCTAAATGTTGTAGACTGAGAAGATGGAATGGAAGCTTGTTCGACTTGGAAAGCTCTGCGCTTTTGTTGACGACACGACGACGTAGCTTGGAGCATCGCAAAAAAACTTTAAAATATTCAAGCAGTTTTGAAACAGGGTATTGAAACTTGCGAGCTCCTTCAGCGAACTTGTTCACATAAAGCGACTGAAAGACAGATTTGTGGTCACGTTCTTCAAACCCTAAGCCCCAAACAAAAACCTAAAACCTGACACCGCCCTAAACCCCAAAACCCCAAGCCTTGAACCCTAACCCCCAAACCCCAAACCCCAATCCCTAAACCCTAAAACCCAAACCCCCAAACCCTAACCCCCAAACCCTAAACCCAAATCCCTAAGCCCTAAAACCCAAACCCTAAACCCTAAACCCTAAACCCTAAACCCTAAACCCAAACCCTAAACCCTAAACCCCCTGAGGTCGGGTCCCACACCGGCTCCCCGGCATCGCTCCGTGTCCCCGCATCGCTGGGACTTCCCTCGGAATCTCTTGGCGGGCAGATCTTGGTAACCTTGGTAGCCCAGAAACCATACAACTTAGGGTTTAGGGTTTAGGGTTTAGGGTTTAGGGATTCTCATGAAGGCGCCCCTTTTTTTGGGGGTGGTTGCTTGCTTTTAGAGAGGGGTCAAACCTGAACCAACCCAAAGAGGGACAAGGGTACCACGGGGCTGCCAAGCAGCCAGGGAGTCGACGCGGTCCGAAAGACTTCGAAGGTAGAAGTCGGCCATATCTCGGCGGCGCGAGGGCCCCAAGGAGCCGGGGAGGTTTGGGGTTTAGGGTTTAGGGCTTAGGGCTTAGGGCTTAGGGTTTAGGGTTTAGGGTTTAGGGTTTAGGGTTTAGGGTTTAGGGATGTCTAGGGTTTGGGGGGAAGAATGACGGGAGGGTCTAGGGGTCACACTTTGGGATGTTCCCCCTACTACATAGCAGTCCTTAATCGGGATGATAGTACCTCAACTATAATCCCGATTTAGGGACTGCTAGTAAAAACGTGGGAAAATCCCTCAAGTCACACTGAGTGATGCCTCCTAGGCACAAAAGAGCTCCTCTTGCTGCGCCTGCATCTTCATGAGGTTATACTTCACGAACCGCCTGAGTCAAGGGAGTCATACTTGGACCCCCCAAAGGATCTACCCCCAAAGGGGCTCCCTTACTGTACTCCTAACAGATGCCCCTTCTATTGAAAGGATCTTCAATCATAAGGGTCCCCCAAACCCAGGGGTACAGCCTGAGGGGTCCAAGGTAGAGTCGCATGACGTAGGGTGACTAAAACACAGAGAGCCCTAAACCCTCAATCTGAAACCCTCCTATACCCTAGACGGATGTCTAGGGCTAGTATGTAGACCCTCAACTTAAATTGGTTTCAGGGTTTCGGGTGCGGGTGAGGCCTGCTGCACGCGTGGCTTTAGAGGGTTCAGACGGGACTTAGGGGGCTTTAGGGGGATTTTATCTTGACCTCGCTTTTGGAGCCCTCCCCATAATTGCACAATCCTGTTCCCCGCGACTGCGCACTCGTTACTGGCCGAGGTGCAAGGACAAGCAGCTATTTCCTTCTTTGCCGAAATCAAAGCCGAAACCCTGTATCCCTTTCAAGGCATATGGTCTACATAACTCTTTTGAGGTGCACCGGGCCCCAAAAGAAGTGATCACTAGAGTGATGGGGGCGTATTATCAGAACAGGCCACCAACAGCCGCAAAACTCCGCAAAGAGCCGGCCCGAAGCCCCCAACCCAACTAGCCCCCGAGCCCTAAACCCCCTAAACCCCTAAACCCCCTGAAGACCCTAAAGCCCCTAAACCATCTAAACCCCCCCTCACAAGGAAACCCCCAAACTCCCCTAAACCCTCTAAAGCCCTAAACCCTAACCCTAAACCCCAAACCCCAAACCCTAAACCCCCAAACCCTAAACTCTAAACCCTAACCCCTCAACCCTAAACCCCAAACCCCAAACCCGAAACCCCAAACCCGCCCCGAAACCCCCCGAAACCCCCTAAGGTGCGGCCGGAAGGCGGCGCGGTTTTAGAGTCCCTGGCCCAGCGGCTCAGGGGCCCGATGAACTCCTTGAAGTCTGGGTGTGTCGTTTAGGGTTTAGGGTTTAGGGTTTAGGGTTTAGGGCTTAGGGCTTAGGGCTTAGGGCTTAGGGCTTAGGGCTTAACAGGGTTTAGGGTTAGGGTTTAGGGCTTTAGAGGGTTTAGGTACCGCATAGGGTTTAAGGTTGTGGCGTTTAGGGTTTACGTTGACGAGTTTTGGGTTTAGTTTGGGATTCAGTGTTTTATAGGGTTTATAGGGGTGTATGGGGTTTTATAGGGTTTGTGGGTTTGTAGGGTCTAGGGGTTGTGGGTGAAGCGTGTCGGGTTTAGAGGTTTCGGGACTGAGGGTTTGGGTTTATGGCTCAGGGCTTCTGAATGTGGGGTTTAGGCGTTCAGGGTTTCCGAATGTGGGTGCGTTGAGTTGTTTGGGTGGGGAAACCCTGATCCCTAAACCCCCGGCTATGGGCCGCGCGCGCTCTCATCCCGCCAGGCGTCCGAGGGCTGGATCATTCCGTCCCCATTGATGTCGACCATGTCGAAAAGCATCTGCAGGTCAGCCTGCAAAGCGACGATTTTGGCTTATGCGCTTCCCTAAGCCCTAAACCCTAAACCCTAAACCCTAAACCCTGAACCCTAAACCGTAAACCCTAAACCCTAAACCCTAAGCCCTAAGCCCGAAGCCCTCAACGTCTAGCTGCTTTTCAACGGATGGGTCGTGAATCAAACTTTGAACCCTAAACTTTAAGCCCAACCCCTGAACTTTCAACCCTAAACTTTGAACCCGAAACTTGAACCCTAAACCCTAAGCTCTGAATTTAGGGTTTAGGGTTTAGGGTTTAGGGTTTAGAGGGATGGTATGCAGGGCTAACAGCAGCCCTTAGAGCCCGGGCCATGCGCACTGAGTGTCTGGGTCTCGGCTGATTGAAGTTTTCAGTTTTAGGTTCTTAGGGCTTCTTAGGCTTAAGGGCTCAGGACGTGCGAGTTTTGGGTGGATTCTGTGTTGTCGCAGTACAGAAGATTCCGCGTCCAGCATGCCTCGACCCGCTCAGGTATACCTACAGGGCCCACTCACGGTATAATCCAGAGGCCCCTTGAATACGTTCTGATAGTACATGGAGGAAAGCCCTAAACCCGAAACCCTCAAAGTAGGCTCCTGTACTAGTAGCATCGGGCTTGGGTACTCCCTTCGATTGTTATCGAAGCGAAAAAGTACGGCCTCAAAGCCCTCAACTCAATTTCCCTAAGCCTCATCCCTAAACTTTAGCAGCATAACCCCAAACCGCAAACCCTAAACCCTAGACTCTAAACTCTAAACTCTAAACTCTAAACTCTAAACCCCAAACCCTTAACCCTACTAAACCTCACCTGGTCGATGTCCATGACCCGAAGACGGCTCATGAATTCGGGGTCTTTAGACGCGCCCGCAATGAGCTCCTGGCATTGGGGGCTGAGGGCGTTTAGGGTTTAGGATTTAGGGTTTAGGGTGTCGGGTTTGGGGGTTTAGGAGTTTTGGGGGTTAGGGCTCATGGGGATTCAGGTATCTTTATCGATTGTAGGGGTTGAATATGGCTTTCAGAGGCTACCAGTATAGGGCTAGGCAGTCTTAAGGGTCTATGGGTTTTTTTGGCTTTCGGGTTTAGGAGGACCTTCCGTGGCTCTGACTTTGGGTCCATAAAGGGTCCATTCCCGCGAAAAGAAAAGCGGGCTTAAGTCACCGACTCTTCGCAGGAAATTATGGAATTCGGTACCCTGTACACCTAAATAGCCATAATTGTGGGGGGAACCCAGGGGGGGTAGTATAGAGGGGGGTAGTAGCCCCAAACCCTAATGCAACCCTTTGAAGGGTGAGAGAAGGCACTTTGAGTTCATTTTGGGTTACGGGTTAAGGTGCCAGAAAGGTCCTCGAAAGCGAGCTCGCCGTCGTTGTTGGAGTCCATTCCTTACAGCTACCCGATGGAACTTAAATGTGAGGGGTTGGGGTAGTAGCGACGACAAAGAAGAGGACAGTGTATCAAAAAGGGTACTCGCACAATCCCTATGAACGAAACTGCTTGCATGAAGAGTAAATGTCAATTCAGGCTTCCTTCGCCCGACAACGAGGGCTGGCAGGTTCAGGCGTATTCAGACTTACAAAAACCTGTTTGGTTAGAACCGTTCAGAACAAGAGAAACGAAGAAATATGCAGCAAGCAGGCAGGACGCTGTCGAAAAGCCTCTGCAGGTACTTCTTGTCGTCCTCGAGCTCGTACTCCAGCTCCTCTGCCAGATTGACCATGTCACGCTCCCTGGCTTCCGCGAACATGTCAATCACCACGGCCACGATGAGGTTAAGGACGCCAAAGACCAAGGTGAGGAGGGAGCCCATGAAAATGATGGAGGTCTCTGGGTGTTTCAATATCAAGGGAACCGCAATGGTGCCCCAACTGTCGCCAGCGATCACGGTCTGGAAAAGCAGCAAATTTGCCCGCATGACCGAAGACGTGGCGTCGAAGCACAAGTCGCCACAGCCCGCAAAATCCGGGTTTGAGTGGATCAGCGGGTGTAACATTTCAACCATCAACATAGCCCAAAGAGTCATGACCACGAAGCAGAGGAGGAAGGACCAGAGAAGAGCCTGGTGGAAGGGGGGCGGCATGTGCATCCAACATGTGCATCCGGACATCCGGATCCATGACGCAAAGAGTCAAACAAATTAAACTCCACTTCACATGTCGCACGCCAAGTTTGAGAAAAATTGGTGGCTAAGCGCTTTTCTCGTTGCGAAGCCCTGCTCTAGCTCAAAGGCCCTGTGTGTAAGGCACTCGCAACCAGGAGCAGAAACCAGCATGTGTCCGTGCAGGTCATACACACAGACGGCCTTGCTCATGTGCCCATATATGGGTCACACAACCTGTGGTGTTTGCCTCTCGACGGTGCGCTGGCACTCTAGGAGTACCCGAAGCCAACATTTCGTCTTCTTGTGAGACATGGAGGGAGATGCCGTGCATAAGAGATTCGAAGAGCCCATGCTATACAGTACATGGAGAGGCATGCAGTGGCATGGGACCTCAGGCAAGAGGAGATGAGATCGCCGGGCCGTCGAAGCAGGGCGAGGCCGATTGACTCTAGGCCGCATGTTACACTCCTGAGTCACCTCGCCCCGGTTACATTTGTCTGTCCTGTGCGGAAAGCTGTCGCGCTCTTTGAACGCTCCCATGAAACGGCGTGGTCCTTGAAGTCTCGGTGGGCTCTTGGGGGGTGCTTTGAGACTTCCCTCGAGGGATGATCTTCGTGCTGTCTGGCGGGATTGGAGTGGTCCCGGTGCACGTTGGACATGCTCTTGGGCCATTGGAGTGCTCTTTCGTTTGTGGTCACCCACTGTTCGGGGTCTACACTGGCATAATGACCAACCCTAAACCCTAAACCCTAAACCCTAAACCCTAAACCACCAATGTCCTTACAAAGCATCAGCACGCCACGCAGTTGGGGAAGCCAGAGCATGGCAAGGAAACGTAAGGGAATCGCTTCGGGCTCGGGGCCCTCGCGCCTTAATCAGCACCAAAAGCATCCCCAATGTTCAAGAAGCTCCCATACCCGAAACCCTAACATTCTGAAACACCTGAGGCCCTAAACCCTAAACCCTAAACCCTAAACCCTAAACCCTAAACCCTAAACCCTAAACCCTAAACCCGAAACCCTAAACCCTAAACCCTAAACCCTAAACCCTAAACCCTAACCCTAAACCCTAAACCCTAAACGCCCCAATGTTTCGGTCCCCTGGCCGCCTTGAAGCAGGTCGACATCATAATCGCCAGCTTCTGTAGCTCTTTCAAGGATCGGCTCTTCCGCAACAAACGCATCCTAGTGGCTCGCTTCTGAGGACTCCAGGGTCTAGGGGTTCGGGGGTTTAGGGTTTTACACGGGTTTAGGGTGGGTTTTGGGGGGGGTTTAGGGCCCTTTTCTTACTTCTTTTAAGGATCGAGGATTGAACACCAGGCGCATCCGGTGCTTCGCTTTTAAGAGCCCTCTCTGCCCAATCGCAAGCTCTGGGAAGTGGGTTTTGCCCCACAATCCATCTCGAGGCTTTGGGTTCAGAGATCAGGCTTCAGGGTTGAGGGTTTGGGGGTGAAGGGGCCGGAAATGCCGACCGCTCCAACCGATTGCTTGAGAAGCGTCAACCTACTGATGCGCACCAAGCGCAGGGCACGCAGGAGACTCATCTTGCCAACCTCCACGGGCAAGGTGGCAACACAGGCTTTGGGGGGGGGGGGGGGGGGGGGGGCCCTAAACCCAGTTGGAGGTCCCTATCGTGGTGAAGCCCTTACAGCTTAGGGCACTGGACCAAAGAAAGAGCCCCCCAAATTACAACAGCAAGGCTGCTGCTGGCAGTAGGGGCGGCCTCTTCGGGAGGTAGCATCTGCGACATCAAGATCTCGGCATAGCCGCACATCACGATGATCAAGTCCAGCAATGGGCTCCAACTCAGAAAGATACGCGGTCCACCGACGTAGATCATGGCCAGAAGCTCGGCCGTGTACATGCAGAGGCAGAGGTCGGATAGGAGCAGCACGGCGCGCGGCGCCGAGCTGCCATTTGCGCGCGAGTCGACGTCTACAACCGTCACGCATGCATCCACGAGGATGACCAGGGCCATGACGTTCATGAGCTGCGTGCTTTGGAGGATCTTCGAGAGTTTCCCTCTGCATCCTCCGCTCCGGGCGTGGAGCTCGGGCGTCTTCGATCTCACGAACTCGCTGTTCACCTTGGACTGTCAGCCACATGGGGGGGGCGTTCCCGAAACTTGGGGGGGTGCCTTCTTGGGTGAGTCCTTATGAGAAGGGGATCCTAACAGTTTAGGGATCTATATTGCGGGTCCACGAGTTCCTCGGCTGCACTCCTTGCAGTGCTCCCAATGCTTTCCATGCCTGGTTCATATTCGGGCTTGGGGATGTTTTAGGGATGTTTAGGGATGCTCAGGGATGTTTAAGGATTCTGAGTACAGTGAAGTTTGGGGCTTAAGGTTTAGGGTTTGAGCTTAGGGGTTGAGAGTGCTGGGAAGCTCCAATCCCAAATTTCTGAACCTCCCCCCCCAAACCCCGACATCGACCGATCCAGTCGCTGCGCGATCGAAAACTCCGGAAACCCAAACATCCCCAAACGTGGCATTCCCGCGCCCCCCTAACAACCCTCAACATTGAAACATTCCGCTATCGTTAGGAAGGAGGGAATGAATCCCGACTCATGTCTTTCAAATGACTTACAACCAGGGTTCTTCAAAGTAAGCCATACAGGGCAAAACTGGCTCCAAACAATTCCCAGTTCTTGTGCGGCCCTAAAACTCCCTCAAACCCTAAACCCTCCAACCCTGAACATGAACCCTAAACCCTAAACCCTCCAACCCTGAACCCTACACCCTCCCAAGCCTCGCTTTTCTGCAGATTCAGGCACGTTGACCATGCTCTTCCGAGAAGGGCTTCCCTCGCCCGAGCGGCCGGCGGGCGAGCCGATCTGCCGGGGCGATCCTTGGCGGGTTTAGGGTTTAGGGTTTAGGGTTCAGGGTTTAGGGTTTAGGGTTTAGGATTAGACTTGAAGGTTGCAGGGGCTTTCAGGGGTTTAGAGGGCTTCCGCAGTCGTGCTCGGCGCGCCTCGGCCCAAAAAACACACTCCCGAGCCGCGTTGTCAGCGACTGAATCAACAGATCCTCCCCCGTTGCAGTGGCATTTCGGGTTTAGGGGTTTAGGGTTTAGGGTTTAGGGCCTTTAGGGTTTAGGGTTTAGGGCTTAGAATTTAGGGTTTAGGGTTTAGGGTTTAGGGTTTAGGGTTTAGGGTTTAGGGTTTAGGCTCCACCTTAAGAACCCCGAAACGAAGAAACTCCTCTTGTTGAATGGCTCTGATTCTGAAAAAGCCCTGTAGGAAGTTTAAGGTAGCCAACAGCAAGGTAGGATTTGGGTTCTTGAGGTAAACCCGAAGCCCTACGTCAAGGGGTCATGGGACCCAAGCCTCCCAACCTAGACTCCTCCAGCAACCCTAAACCCTAAACCCTAAACCCTAAACCCTCATTATTAGCCGGACCCTGCCCTGGGCGACCTTCAAAATCACTAAGATGATAGAAGCGGGATTGCAAGACATGAACATCACAAAAACCCCTTCAAAAAAAACAATTGAGACTCCATTGAACTTCAAGAAAAAAACAGCCAATGATCTGAAAACCGCCGCACTCGGGCTTCGGGTCCCTAAACCCTAACCCCTAAACCCTAGGTTTATAATTGGGGGGGAGGGGAAGGGATTAAACGCCATGAAGCGCAATGATGTTGCAAGCTCAATGCTCGAGAATCCGAGGAGTTGGGGGGGGGCCCTAAACCCTAAACCCTGCAAGATGCTGATTTGGTCATGGGGATGCGGGAGCCCGAACCTAACCCTAAACCCTAAACCCTAAACCCCAAACCTTAAAGAGAAACCCAGGCACCAGTTCGGCTCCCCCCAATTGCATCCCGCAGCTGGGCGAGTCGGGTGGCCTCTTCGGCAGGGGATCTTGGGAGATGGCAGGGCTTTTCGGGGCTTACATTTTATGGGGTTTATTGCTCTTTGTAGGGCTGATAGGGTCTTATGGGGTTTATAGGGTTGATGGGGTTTGTGGGCTTCGGGTCCGAGGGCTGAGAAAGTCGTATGACGAGTTTTGGGTGAACAGCGGGCCATCGGTCTGCGGGTTAGGGTTCGGGTTTAGGGTTTTAGGATTTGGGGTTTAGGGTTTTAGGCTTTCAGGGTTTCAGGGTTTGGGGTTTCGGGTTTAGGGTTTTGGGGTTTAGGGTTTAGGGTTTCAGGGTTTTGGGTTTAGGTGTTTGGTCTATGTTGCGCGGGCGGAGCTTGGATGCAGCAAAGGTAGTCAAGGGATTAGGTATTCAGGGACTATGCAAGGTGTATATAGGGGCTATAATATCGGGGAATGAGATTAAGAGGTCCCTCCTTATATCCCTTAGAAAGGCACTTTGAGGCTGACAGGTGCAAGTAAGAGTAGATATAAGTGGGGTTCTACGTAGCGGAACGAATGTTCTGACTGGGTATAACCTTATTCGCATGCAAAAGTACTTACTACCCAACCTTATAACTACCCATGAACCTTCAAGTATCTTCAAGTAAACCCTCAACCGGCCTCGTCGCGAAGCTGGTGCGCCTCCATCAGCGACTCGGAACCGGAGACCGAATTAAGTGCAACGAGCTTACCGCTGCAGTCAGCACATGATTCGCTGGCTAGGACGGAGGGTTAGGGTAGTGCGGGGCCTGGGTCCCTTGTGGTTCTGTAATGGGTTGAGGGTTTAGGGTTGGAACGTGTCTGCTACAAAAAGGTCCTAGAACAGAACTTGACTTTGGAACATTCCCCTGCCTTTCCCCGGCTTTCCGCGTCCTTTTTCCCCTTCCGTTACCTCTGAAATCTTTCCGCTGCGGGGGGGTTCATCTCGACTGCGGGCCGAACTACAAGCGTCATAACGTACGGATTCGACTATCAGGATTATGATGCAGGGATTGCACCAAGGGTTGCACCAAACCCTAAAAGCCTAAACCCCTAAACCCCACCACCCTAACTTAACCACTATCCTAAAGCCCTGATACCCTAAACCGCAAATGGGAACCCCCAGAAGGGCCCCCATGAGCTCGCGATCAACCCCCATGTCCGAGGCGGGATCCCTCGACCAGTGCTGGGCGTTTAAGGGCCCTGGCTGTCAAAGGGCTGCACAACCGCCTCCGGAAAGCCCCCCTTGCAGGATTTAGGGTTGACGGTTCATAGGGCTTAGAGGATTTGTTTGGGACTTTTCTAGGGCTTGTGTAAGGTTGCTTTGAGGTGATTATCGGGTTTTCATACGAACTTAGGGATCTTAGGGATGTACCCAGCCACCTAGGCAGGACAGCCCTGTCTGATTGTTCCAGCGATTGAAAGCTTAGGGCTTTAGGGCTTTCAAAGGCTTAGGGCTTAGAGGGCCTAAGGTTTCACATAGGCCTTGAAAAGTAATGATGCGGGGCACTCCTAGCCTCCCTTCCTACTGCTGAATTCCGCTCACTTCCGCTCACTTCATCTCCTTGGCTCGGGCACCTCGTCGGCGGCTTGCAGAAGTCCTAAACCCTAAACCCTAAACCCTAAACCCTAAACCCTAAACCCTAAACCCTAACGGTCTAGGCGATGATGACTCTACGTTTAAGGACTATGCCATAAGGGCCGTACTGCATGCCGCGAGCTTGGCCACAAAGCCCGAAGCCCCTAAACCCTCCTCAGGCCTAAGGCCTGATACCGAGACGGTATAGGGTATTTAGGGCATTTAGGGCATGTAGGGTATTTAGGGTATTTCGGGCATTTAGGGTATTTAGGGTATTTAGGGCATTTAGGGTATTTAGGGCATTTAGGGCATTTAGGGTATTTAGGGTCTAGGGTTTAGGGTTTAGGGTTTAGGGTCAGGACCCTGGATGCTGCGAAGCACGTCTTCACTCCGCCGGCGACGCTCCTTGGACGAAAGTCGCTTGCCTAAGCCCTAAACCCTAGTCCCGAAACCTGGGCTTTTGCCTTCTTGGGGGCAAGTGGCATGATGAGAGTGTTGAAGAAGATGATGGGCCCCTTTTGGGTCTCCAATATGCTTAACAGCCCCGCCCAAAAAAGAAAACCTCGAAAACCTCAAAAGCCTTAGATCCCGAAAACTGATTACAGTACGGTAAAGGGATCGGTGGCAGGGATGCTCCCGTTGCCAGGGCCCGAGTACTTGTTGCAAGGTTCAGTGTGCCGAGATCCTGTTTTGACACTGCTTGGTGTTTTTGCGAACCTCCCAGGCGTTTCAGCACTGTGTCCAGACAAGCTGCAGTGCTCCTCATGTGGGCAGTTGTCTACACTGGGGTCTCTTTTCAAACCCTTCTTACAAGGTGCTGCGCAGCATGGGAAGCTGAAGGAGGGAACCTGGTTTCGGGAGATACCCGTGTAACAACACCGACTCATTGCAAAGGGCACCTGTTGGTGAGTCACGGGCCCCAGATGAAACCCCAACACCCAAACCCTACTCAGAACCTTAAACCTCGAACCAGGACCCTAAACCCTAAACCCTAAACCCTAAACCCCCAAACTCCTGACTCATGGATCGCTGTCCAGGAAGTCCCGTATCCTCCCCGACTGGGCGCACGGGCGCTCGTCGTACACCACATCGACGCCCTCCTCGTCCTCCTAGAGAAGCTGCTTCGGTGGGAAGCTGCGATCCCCCTCCCGCTGCCTCTTCGCGACTGTATCCAGCCACGAGAGTGGGCACCGTAAACCCTAAATCCGACAAACCGAAACCCTATACCCTAAAAACCTAAACCCTAAACCCTAATGCAGCTTGTCAAGAGGCCAGAGCATTGACCCAAATCCTGAGGCAACCGGTTGAACTCTTCTCATGAGGAACCCATCTTCAAAAGCCTAAACCCCAAACCCTAAATCCTAAACCCATCTTCAATGACTCCCTTTTGCCTCCCTTTTGGGCCTCTTAGACCTTCCCACTTGTAAAGTCCCCTAGCTAATCGCGCCTCGGTCCACGCGAACCCATCGAACTCGTTCTCCGCGATTTCGGCCTTCACGGCCGTGTACCTGCCCAGGCTCAGGTTGGTTAGTTTAGCGTCTCGGGTCTAGGGTCTAGGGTTTAGGGCTCTGGTTAGTCTAGGGTTTGGGGTTCAGGGCTTGGGATGTAGAGTTTGAGGCTGACTCATGGGTCAAGTGTCCGGCGCACTTCTTGTGGTAGGGCGACACGGCAAACA